CGTATGGGAAACAGTGTGAAGAACTCTTAAAAAACTATAAAAGAACCTACCATATGACCCGATTATACCACTCCTTGGCATATACCCAAAGGACTCATCCTATTGCAGAGACACTTGTACATCCATGTTTGTTGCTGCTCTTTTCACAATAGCTAAGAGATGGAAGTAACCTAAGTGCCCCTCAACTGAGGAGTGGTTAATGAAAATGTGGTACATTTACACAATAGAATTCTACTCAGCAGTAAAGAAAGACGGAAAAATGATATTTCCAGGTAAATGGATGGATCTAGAAACTGTTATACTAAGTGAAGTAACACAGACTTAGAAAAACAAAAGACGTATGTTCTCCCTCATTTGTGGATCCTAGAACCAAATCCTTATAAGTGAGTGCATATCCTGATGCAACTGCAGGAATCAGGAATATGGTAAGGAAGCAGGGAGGTAAAGGGAAAGAAGGAACCTGAGAGAATAGTAGGAGAAAAGTGTTATTAAGGGAGAAATATGTAAAACAGGGGTAGTTAAAGGTTAAGGGGGGGGACTATACAAAGAACTATGGGAATAATGAAAAAAATCTCCCAATACACAGTTTAAAAAAAAAAAAAAAAAAAGCCTTAAGCACAAAAAAAAAACTACGGGGTTGGAAGAAAGCCCTACCAGAGCCATACAGTGTCAAGTTGACACTAAGGCTATCCAGCACAACACTTGAGGGTAAAAGTAGTCACATGTATACTATTCAAAATATGTATTTGCAATGTCATTTTTATTTCCTTTGGACTAAGCATAAGGGGAAAATATAAGCACATGTAAGTGGAGAGAGAGAGAGAGAGAGTTTGGGAAAGCTCAGCTTGTTTTAAATCTTGTCCTAATCAAGCAAAAAAAAAAAAAAGGACACCCTATGAACCACATAAAACAAAAACTCTGTTTTTTTTTTTTCCTTTCAATTTTCCCATCTAGTTTTAAATGGTCACTTTACAAGAGAGAAACAGAAAGTGAGAACACATATAGAAAATTGTTTTCTATTTCTCATGTTTTATCTTTTTAAAAAGATTTTTTTTATTTTAAATGTATGCGAGTATTACCTGCATGTGTGTAAGTACACCTGTGTCATGCAATGCCCACAGAGCTCAGAAGAGGGTGTTGAATTCCCTGGAACTGGGGTTATGGGCAGTGGTTAGCCACCATGTGGGTGCTGGGATCAAACCTGGGTCCTCTGCAAGAATAGATAATTCTCCTAATTGCTGAGCCATCTCCCTAGTCCCCCACACCCATATGTTTTGTCTTTAAATACACCATCTAACTAATTAATTTCCAACATAGAATCAAAATAAAATCATGTGGAAATGAAGCACTGATGGAAAGTGAACGGGAGTGTTTCCTGGGTCTTCTTGGCGTCCTCGTGTGTGCTCACCACTCTGTTGCAACTCAAGTGATTTTACAGAAAATGGTTGTTTCTCAGAGTAGTTTTCTTTGGAATGGGAGATTATTGAGAATACAAAAGTCTACTATGTTCACTTTATCCTTGAAGGTATGAAATTTTCAACTGGGGACTCTTTGATGTCTAGTTAAGAATTTTTTCTGTGAGCTGTGATTTTATCAGAACATCACAAAGTTGCTTGTATGCTCTCTGACCTTTCCCCAGGAAGACAAGCATGACAATGAAATTCAAACATGAAGCAATCAAACCTGTGCTGATATATTTCTACAGAAAGATTGTCTTAAGTTGAAGACTTTGTCTAATGAACTGTCAAGACGCTACATTTAGTGTGTAACAAAATTTAATCTTGGATTGCTTTGAGAAACAAAACAACTGAATGTAGCACCTTTTAACATAGATCTAGTAATGTTATTCATTCATTCAAAATCTATTCATTGAGTGCCCACTCTATATACTACACTCCTGCCTTCAAGGTGCTCATGATTGAGAGAAAGGTGGTCAGGAAAACCAAAGCCTGCAGAGTAAAACAGTTCAGTACTTTGAAAAGTCTGTGTCCTGACTTTGGTTGGAAGCACTCAGAAGGGGCATTCAGTCTTGCTTGGAGTAAGGTTAAAAAAAAAAAAAATCAAAAAGTTCAACAAAACTTTCCAGCAGAGGTTACTTGAAGGATATGTTTTATTATAGCAGACAGGAAAGGGGAAAGGAAGACTCCCAGGCAGTGAGAAGTATGGACAGACTTAATCACCATTAGAAGTTAAAATTGCATATGTAGATCAGACATGGGAGATGAGGGAGGAAGACTTAGCTAAAGCTAGACAAAGTCACTGTCTATAACTTCAAGTTCAGTGCAGGGAAGAACTGAGGAGAGAATGCAGGCTTTATAGTAGCAAACACAGTGAAATAAGATATGGCAGGCCTTAAACAGTCAGGATCCATGGAAGATAGAACCTCTGTTGGTTCAAGTTGTCATCCCGGGGCTGGAGAGATGGCTCAGCAGTTAAGAGCACTTGTGCCACTGCTGAGAGGACCTGGTTTGGTTCACAGCACCCACATGGTAACTCACAACCAGGCATGGTAACTCCAGTTCCAGGGGATCTAATGCCCCTTTCTGGCCCCCACAGGCACTGCTCATATGTGATACAGGCAAAACACTCATACACATAAAATAAAGGTAAATAAATATTAAAAAAAATACTAAAAGACCAAGATAGCATTCCTTCCTACTACTTTTAGAGATTCAAGCATTCTTGCTAAGCCCAGATCAACTTCTCAGCGATTCTAGAACACCGAGCCAATCAGAGTTGGTACATATCTCTGCATGCTTTCTATCTTGAAAATTCTGAGAGCCTATGTTTTAAGAGCTAAAGGGGAAAAAAAAGTTATGTAGAATTAAAAGTCATAAAACAAATAGTGAGAATCTTTGAGCTTAGCTAAAACAGACTTTTCCCCTCTTCTAACTTTAGGAGGGAATAGAGGAGTAAGGAAGATTTTTTCAAAAGGCATGGTTGACTATATTGGCCCGTGTCAGCCCCCCATACAGTCTGTCCTCTAGAGAACTGGTGAGTGACCCAAGCCCCCCCACCCCATCTTCAACCCTATAGGAAAGAACAGAAATAGAGAAAAGGGGGGAGGGAGGGACGGAGGGATGAAGACAGAGAGACACACAGAGAGAAACCATGGAAACAACCCACAGGAAAAGCTCCTAAGTGGGGATAAAAAAGAAAGTAAATTACAGAGTTCTTGTTATGAATGGCAGCAGGGACCAGTGGGACCTTATGGGGAAGGAAGCCAGCCTTCCTTGTTCCTCAATATAAAACAATCTCCGTATTGAACTGGAAAAAGAATGGAATGCTCATCAATTATATTAAAAGTGGATTGACTTATTAAAAATGCAGCAATGTTTGCCAAAAGCAGATGGAAAACAGAAATTCAAAACAAGGTGAGGTCATTTGCAAAACCCCAGCCTTGCCACTAACTCCCAGCAGCTGACAGTTCTCTACACCAGTGTGGTGCTGATGGGATGTGGGTGGGAAAGTGGAGGCCAACCCAGGGTTAGGAGAAAGGGGAGTAGAGCCTAAGAAATGGTTATAGCCTCTTTCCTCTCATTTGTTTTCCAACATGGAGAAAAGCAACTCCCTTTCCTTGTCAATTTCTTAGGCACTGGTATTGACTCAGAGTGACACTCTCACACATTGGTGGGAATCAGGCTTTCCTTTACGTGGCTGTCTTAAATGCATGCTCATTAATCTCAGATACTGTGATTTATTACAGCTAACACTAACCAGACTCTGGTCATCTGTAAGCCTGACCTGAGATGATCATTTTCTTACAATACTAGAACTTTAATTCTAAGCCTTGAAATGACCTTAGAAATATCTAGTCCTTGGCTCTTAATTTCTCTGTTGGGGAAAGCCAAACCCAAAAAAGGCAGGTGATTTGCCTTAGCTTGCACAACATATACGTAGCAACTCTGGGACTAGATTCTCATGCTTCTGGCATTTGTTATAGTAGAAATTGAAGAAAATGAACATTTTGATGAACTGATTCAAGAACAAGGCTTACAGTGCTAGTGAATGGATAGTCTACTGGCACTCCATAACCATCTAACAGTACCCCCTTATTGTACTGTCTTAATAAGCTCTGTGCTGACGGGCATGGTGCCATTTGCCTGTAATCCCTCCACTTGGAAGGCTGATGCAGGAGGATCACAAGTCCTAGCTCATTCCAGTCAGTACACAGGGAAAATAAAAACAAACATAATCTATTAAGTGGTGATATAACTAAAATAGCAGAAATGATAAACATGCCCAAACTTTATTAATGATTCACATTGTATAAAGTTAAAAAAAAATTCTCTTAAAACTATTTCCACAACAAAAACTTATTCTATTTAACAAACAATGGGAGGGGGAATGGCCAAAGCTTTCCCACCTATTTCTAAGGAAATCAAAAAAAGCTGGTGTGATTGGCAAAACATGCAAAGGAGAGATTAAATTAAAAGAAAATCAGCTCTTACCGCTTTAATCATCAATCTGATGGAAATTTTTTTGACAATCACTGTCAATTTGCACATAAGTCACTATTCAATTATCCAAATTTGAAACAGAAAGTTATGTTTTCTTCTACAGTGGGATTAAAAATAAGACCTTACAAATTATGGGAATGTTGACTATAATCAGTTACTCTTACAATTTCTTTTCTTCTTAATGAGTTCTTCGAATTAGAGCATACAAAACATGGTCTCCAGAAAGACAGATGTGGGTGGGTCCTGGAACAGAGAGAATGATTCTGTTTCTCAAAAGAAAGAAGTGCTGTGCTTTCAAGTAGAGAAAACAAATAAATGATTTTTGATAATAGAATATTTTTAATTTTTATTTATTTATTTTGCCTGCATGTATATAAGTGTACCCATGTTATGCATTGCCCATGGAGGCCAGAAGAAGGTGTTGGATCCCCTGGAACTGGAGTTATGGACAGTTATACCCATGTTATGCATTGCCCATGGAGGCCAGAAGAAGGTGTTGGATTCCCCTGGAACTGGAGTTATGGACAGTTGCTAGCCACCATCTGTGTGCTGGGAACTGAACCCAGGTCCTCTGCAAGAGCAGTCAGTGCACTTAACCGCTGAGTCATCTCTCCAAATGATAGCAGAATCCTAATGGCCTTTAGAGAAAAAAGGTTATGAGGATCTATAAAGTTGACGAAGGTATGTAAAAATAATGCAAAGAAATTTAACGTGGGGTTCTAGGTAACTCGATGTCAGAGATTTTTTTAAAGAAGCTCTGTTCTGCAGAACCAATCTCAGCATTACCCAAATCTCAGCATCCTCTGTTGGACTAGGAAAACTTTTCATGTACCTCTCAGATTTTTAGAGAATGGATGATGGAACAGTTTTTTTTTTTTTTTAATTGTGAAACATGGAGATGTTTTACTTCACTTTCTCATGTTGTTTCCATATTTTTCAGGGTCTGGAAGTCAACGCAATTTAAGAAAGTTTAGCTAAAGGAACAGACAAAGTAGAGAGAAGGAACATGGGGCATGTGGGGAAATCTAAGACTGCCGTCCATCTCTGTTCTTCTCACACTCTCACTAAAAGAAGCCATGCCTTTGGCAGTCACTGTACTAATATAACAAAGCTTTTGAGTCACAGTGTAGAATTGAAACTCTAGCTTTTTACTTACTGGCCATGTGACTCTGGATAACTTACTTTACATTTTAAAGGTGTGTTTTTATTTATGAATCATCTATCACAGAATGGTGGGTAGAATGTTTCTATTATCTTTGAGTTGCTGAGGCCAAATAATGACAATAGAAGACATCACTAGCCTACTGTCAATGAGTCCCAATAGGCCAGTGGAGGTCAGTGTTCTACCCTAAAGGGCCTACCCCAGGTGGAACAGCCTGGATACCACCAACCACCATCCCAACTTCCCCATCAGAAAGATACAGAATATGCCCACCCATCACTAAGTGATCATAGTATAGAAACAGAAAGTTCAACTCAGTGGATATCAACTTCGGAGTTCTCAGAACCCAAATTACATGTAGACAGTATCCCTACCTAACAAAAGCCTCACATGTAAGTGATGAATTTCATCTTGTCATATTCTTGCTTAAAAGTCTAGATTGACCTTTCTACTGGGCCTAGGATCTAAATCCAGACTTCCTCCTTCAACCTATGGTATAATCACTGTCTATTACTCCAGCCTCATTATACCTTATGCAGCCCCTCAGAGTATTTTGTCTTTTCTAGGGCCTTTGTATAGGGTGTATTTCTCAGTTGTGAATGAATTGCCTTTTTATTCACATTTCTCACTTGAAATGGCCTTCTTTGGCCAAATCCAGAATATGCCCTGCACTGTCCACTGACTCAGCCATGTATTCATTTCTTCTGCAGCACCAACTGCAGTTTGTAGCTCTTTTGTCTTCAGCTTTGTTTTGTTGTCTTGAATGAGAGAAAAGGCAATGTCTGTGTTGTTTACTAGGCTATTCCAAGAGCACAAAGTATGCCAGACATAAAGTATGTACTCAATAAATTAGTTGTTGGCTTTGCTTTTATGAAGATAGCTTCTAAATCTTATCTCTAAAGCTTTTTTCCCCTGGTGTACACTGTAGCACCATGTCCCTAATTGTTTGCTGAATGTCTATATCTAGAAATTCAATGTTCAATTAAAATATGACACCAAACTACACTGGCATACAATGTTGCATCAGTTAGAGAGACTAACTTGCATAACTTACCGGTTCTCTTTTAATAACAATTTGGGGGTGTGTCAAATGTTGCTCTGGAAACAAAAGAGATGTATTAGTTATCCCCCTGCCTAACAAAACCTACTAGCACTCAAGGGCACTTACTAATAAAAATTCATTTGTCACATATTTGAGGTGGTCATCCAGGAAGCTTTGCAGATCTTGACAAGGGTTACATGTACCTGCAGAGTGTCTGGCTGCCGACTGCCCTGGGGTCCCCTGGTTTGTAATGACTGAAGAGTCTTAGCTCCATCATGTTCTTCTCTAGATGATCACGTCCTTCTAAGCATAAAGCCCCAGAGCAGCAAACCTCTGTCTGCCCTATGTATTCTAACATTCCACTGGCTGAAAACTAATATCCTTGAACCCAAAGTGAAAGATCTTGGCAGGGAATTTTGGAACCTGAGGAACTGTTATTTATTAATCTATCAAAGCACTGAATTGTTATTTATTAATCTATCAAAGCACTGAAGGAACAAACTCTCCCTCCAAGAGAACTGTAATTTGCCCTCCAGAAGGTATACCCAAATCGAGGGCCACACGAGGTCTGTTTACCATATAGTCTGTGCTTTCATAAAGATAAGCATAAAGAACTATAGAAATAGGGAAGGAAGGTAATTGGCTTAAGGAGAGAGCTCTTCACAGCAGAGACCACAGCAACATATAAATGGGGACAGATCAAGACATTTAGGGAAGTGGTAGAAGGGAGGAACAGGTCATGGGATGTGGACGCAAGAAAAAGGAATTCTTTTCTTTTTTAGAAAAAATTTTATTAAGCCAGGTGTGGTGGTACATGCCTTTAGTCCCAGCACTCAGGAGGCAGAGGAAGACAGATCTCTGTGAGTTCAAGGCCAGCACATAGTGAATTCCAGGACAGCTGGAGAATTTCATACAATGTATTTTGATCATATTCACCTGCAATTCCTCCTAGACCCACCCCCTTCCCTACCACATCCCAACTTTGTGTCCTCTTTTTTTTACACCAATCAAATCCAATGTATGCTATCCTTATACTCTTGGCTAGCTAGCTTGTTGTATTGGTTTTCAGGAAAATTCCTAGCAGCAGAATTTAAACAGGAATTCAGCATGTCTCTAATAAAAAGTTTGTTCCGGTGAAGCACTGCTACAGAGCATTCGCTCACTCATTCATTGCCTTGTTTTGTCATACAAAATTGATGAAACTGCAACCCCCAAAGCTTCCCAAGTGAACTCCAAAACACAAAGAAAACTGAGAAAACAACACTGTGGATAGTATTGTTTACATAGGTTACAAATTAACTAGTATAATGAAAAGAAGTCAAAGCTTTGATGTATAGAACCACAAAGTCATATTTCTTTCCTAGCTTATGGCTGAAAAGTTAAACAACAAGTATGTTTAACATGGGTGTGTGTGAGTGAGTGAGTGAGTGTGTGTGTGTGTGTGTGTGTGTGTGTGCGTTGTATTGCTACATATGTTCATGCATTTTCAAGAAATATTAACATTTTATGTATGGGCCTATAGTATATCCAGTGGGATATTTATAATAATTATGAATTTCATATATAAAGTCACTGTGTTAAACTAAACTAACTGAACTATCATAACATGACACAATAGTCACTGTGGTGGTTTAAATGAATGTCCCCATAGGCCCCAAGTATTTGAGCACTTTGTTCCCATTGGTGGCACTATTTGCAGAGGTTTAGGAGGTGCCGCCTTGCTAGAGGAAACACTTCACTAGGGGCGGGTATATAGCTGCACTTTCGGTTTCTCTCTGCTTCCTGGGCATGCCTGATAATGTGAGCACTCTGTTTTCTGCTCCAGCTGCCTCCTGCCATGCTTTCCCCTGTCATGAGCAGATGTTCATCCCTCTGGAATAATAAGCCCAATAATCCCTTCCCTCTCTAAGTTGCCTTAGTCATGGTGTTTATCACATTAACAGAAAAGTAACTCACACAGGTATATTGTTTCTATTTCTATTTTATAAATAAGAAAATCAAGGTCAAGCAATATGTAAGTTATTCAAAGCCCAGAGCCTGAAAGTAACCAAAGAGCTCTCAAATACAGGGCTCTCCCTTCAGTAGTTAACACTCTTTAAAGATTCGCTGCATTTTCTCAAATGCACATCTTGTCATAATATTCCTTAAAACCACATCAGCAAATATTCATTAAATATAGTAAAAAGAGTTTTAAAAGTCATTTAAGGCAGTGTAGAACAATAATAAATAATCAAGTATATCCAAGTACATAATAGGAAAGTATTAATTAACAGTTAAATGGAAGGCCAAAAATATTATAAGAATTACTCTAACATTTTCATTTGTGGCAAATATTTATCAGATTCCCATTAAGTGTTATGCACTCAACCCAATGCTATATGCATGTATTGAACTAGTATGTTCAATTCCCTTAATATGTATAATACATATTTATCAAAAGTAAAATAAAATACTCTTGAAGTAAAAAGAAAAAATTCATAATACACCAACATTTCTTTCAAAGGCATTAAAATCAAGCAAAGATACTGATATATAAATAACTGTCATATATTGTTCCAAAAGCAAATGATAAAAGTCTTACTAAGCATAGTGACAACCCATATAAATCATCAGTGACATATTGACAGAAGCCTGGGAGGCAGATGAGAAAGGCTCCATTCAGGAGGTAACTATAGTGGAACATTGAAGTAAATAACACAGCACATGATTTTTCCCTAAAGTTTATCCCTTTATTAATAACAGACTTATTGAGATATAACTTACATCATTAAAAAATTAGCCAGGCATAGTGGTGCACACCTTTAATCCCAGCACTCAGGAGGCAGAGGCAGGCGCATCCCTATGAGTTCAAGGCCAGCCTGGTCTACA